AAGTGGGAGAACTTGCACAATTGGTGGCTGACTAAATACTTTTTTGCCCCACTGTAAGTAACTTTCCAATAAGTGGGAATATTGTAGTCAGTGTGAATTGTTTATCATGCAATGCTTGTAAAAGCCTTTAATTTTTTAAAAAATCAAGGTTTGATCCAGCCCCAGATAAAGTCTATACTGTATTTCAGTTATAAGTCTTAATCCAAAGACAATTGATTGTTTTTAAGTTTCACTGATGAATGTATCCATTTGATTTTAAAAAGCATTTATGTAAGAAATTCAGAGAAAGAACAAAATACCACGTCCTGGAATAAGACATGGCTGGGTGCCAGGCACACGTATACTTCACACTAACATTGTTTTGTGGGTTCCACCTTTTTTATTCAACCTCAGATAAGCAAAGAATTTATCAAGTTCTATTTATCAAGTTTTATACAATCCTATTCTAGACTTAACCTATTCAAGATGCTTATCCCTACAATGTTCTCAGCGGAGAAGGTGTGTCACGTGTTTTAATTGTGACAGGAAGTACAAGAAAACTAAGGCAACATCTGTTTTCATAAACAGTCAGGGCTGCTGATTGAAAAAGCTTGAGGCAGTTCAATAATCATGTCTGATCTTCGTCCAAATGAAAGAAAAAACAAACTCTACCCGAAATCAGTTTCTTTCACCTTCCATATTGGTAGCCATTGTAAGGGAATGAGCCTTTAAGATTGAAAATGAACAATGATAAGGGGTGGGGAAAGAGGGGGAAAGGGATAGGAGTAAATGGACAACAAAAGAAAAACATACAGGTCAGTAAAAGACATTTCAGAGGCCATGTTTAAGTATACATATTAATCTTGCATTTTAAACCTGCGTGCAAAGTTTAGGCACCCAGGCCAAATTCTGTGTTTCAGTGAATTGGTAAGTGAATGAAAGCTGACAGACCTCTACTTGATATAAGGTTAAGGACATCTTTCTGGAAACCTGAATGCGTGATTACTTGTTATGTGTAGTTTACAGGTTTGAAACAAAAAAAGCGGCGGGTGCAGAACTTTGAACACTCAGTCACGTTTGGCGGAAATAACAGGGGCCAAATGCTTCCTGTTGCTGGCTAAAAGTCCTTCTATTCTTGCTTTTGGATTTTTTCCCCCATTCCTGCAGAATTTTTCTAGTTCAAAAATACCCTTAAGTCACCTTAAGAGTTTAAGATCTCCCCACAGATTGTCAATAATACTCAAGTTGGAAGTCCACTTTCTTTCCAGGAAGTGCTTCATGGTTGATTCGGAGTATGTTTCAGATTGTGATCTTGCTGAAATATCCAACCTCTTTTCAGCTTCAGTTTCTTCACTGACTGTAGGACATGAGCTTCCAGGGTAGGTAGATATTTGGTTGAATCCATGTTTCCTTCCAGCAACACAATACTTCCTTCACCACTGGCTGCCACATAACCTCAAAGCCTTAATAGAGTCAACTTGCTTAGCATCTGGCAAGATGTTCTTCAAATATTTCACCCTTCCCCCCCCCCAATGTATCTTACATAATTGTGCCTGGACAGTTCAATTTTTATTTCATCAGTCCAAACCACTTTGTTCCAAAATATTTCATGCTCATCAACATTCTTTTTACATACTTTAGACATTGACTTTTGTGACGAAGTTAAAGAAAAGGTTTATTTTGGACTGCTCTTCAGTACAGACCAGGTAAGCAACCTGTGGACAACCCCTCTCAGCTAAGCTTTTCAGCAGGTTGTTTGTAGTGGTCCGTGGAATCTGTGTTGCAGTTCTAGGAGGAATTTTACTTGGTCTTCCAGATCCTGCCTTGACTTCAATAGCTCCACAAAACTTCCATTTCTTAATGTTTCTCACAGTTGAAATGGCTAGCTGGAAACTTTACAGATTTTATATCTCTGTCTACGATCCTCCCCTGCTTTGTAAGAGTGAATTATTTTCATTTTCAAATGCTATGTCCATAGATGTTGAAAATAGGCAGAACACAATCACAACCTGAGTGTTTCTTCACCCATGAAATTGTCTTCTACCTACTTGTAGGCCTACCAAGCCAATCAACTTCTGGGGCCTTATTAACAACTGTACCTTTAAAAAAAAAGCACGGATTCATCTGGAAGGTTGTCTAAATTTCTTCACCTGACATATTCACTTTTTTCCCCCCACTCTGAATCTGCAAACAACTGCACATAAATAGCTTGCATGCATTCAAATTTGCAGAAAGATGTCAAAGTTAACTCAATACCACCTAGAAGTTGTGCCAGCTTCTATTCCCTTAAGGATTCATTGAAACTTACAGTTTGACCAGAGACGCCTAAACTTACACATGCAACTGTATGTTGGAAGTAACCAAACCTTAGTTATAAAGCTGCTTCTTACTTGCAAGGCCCAGCGGGTTGTTTCATGCTGCACCAAGCCAATCCATTTAAGGATCCCATGCAATATAGATATTGATGCCAAAATTCTCTCAATTCCTCTTGTGGCCTCTCTATTCTAAAACAGTGTTTTTCAAGAACCGCATTTGCAACCCCGTTTCCTTTTTTTGGTTATCACAGAATTCTCCGTGTGGCAGAAACCCTGAGTGTACAACATTCTTGTCTGGCAGCAGATTAGAAGGGAAGATTGATGGGGCAGACCAACCACTTTTCAATGCATTTTGTTTGCCATTGAGGAAAATGCTAAATTGAAGTTTATGGCAGAACAACACCAAAGCCATAGCTGTCATTTAGAGGAACCTCTTAATATTTTTGAGGGGGCTTAGTAGTTTGAAAACCACTGCTTTAGTGGGAAAAAATTAAGATATAATCATGCAGTAAGAATATTTTAGTCAGGCTGTTCTTGGAAGGTGTATGTACCATTCATTCATTATGACTATGCATTTTTGCTTCAGATTATTACAAGAGGCTTAGTTAGTAAAGTTCATTCCTCCATGCTGTTTGAAAGCTCATGAATAAGGAAGTTGGGTAACTATTTTTTCCTCCTCGAAGTGTAAAATATTGGCTCAAGAATAAGGGAAGGGAATTACACGAATAAGGCATTCAAATGGGATGGAACAGATTAGTTGGATAACATAGCAATGTCATAATAAGTGCAACAGACAAAATATTTTTCAATTTTATGTAGTTTTTTTGTTCCTTAGTAGAAGGTTGTATCGCCTCCTTTCTCTTTGGATGCATTAATGAAGCATGTCATATGGTATTCGTGATGCTTCTATGCAACCTATGAACTCCGGGCAAACAGACCCAACTAAATGCTGCAATGAGCAGTTTTGAACTACCCAAACTTCACCTCCATCAAAATTATTCAGAGTCCATAAGTGGGGTTTTGTAGTTGTAGCTCTGTTAGTTAGTATGTGTACCTGTCCCTTTGGACTGCAACTTTCAAGTATTTAATATTTATGGATGATAAAATATATAACATTCAGACTGCTTTCCCTAAGAATGAATCTTGGCTCTTAGGGGTCAATTATGACATCATATTTATGATGGCAGTGGGAAGATAACCAACAAGTAACTTTTTTCTCAATCACAGCAGTGATACTGCCAGAATCATGGAGTTTGAGAATCAGGAAGAGAGCTGATCCCTGTCAATAAGTTAAAACTCCATCTGTGTAACATAAAAAAAGTTCATTTTTGATTCCCATGTCAACCTGAGAGTTATGAATAGATAGTTGTGAATAGATATTGTAGATAGGTCTCCTTCCCCCAAAGGATAAGTGTGCAGCCTGACACACACTCTTTGACTTGACTTAATCTCCAGTAATGACAGTTTTTTCCAACTATTGCTGATATACTAGTTGCATTGTCTAAAAAACAGTTAATACAACCACCATTCCTGCCTGGGTAACCTTTATTTGGCTTAGAAAGTTAATCTACCCGAGGAAGTATACTTGAATCTGCTTCAAGATTCATCCTGATGTCACTCTAGATGTATATTATGGAGATATCAGAGAGAGGGGTCAATGCAATTTTGTCCTCATAGTTGTGACCAAGTAACCAACATGGTTAGAATCAATTCATTATGAAATTCCTACTTGATTGGAATCATGTGACAAAGAGGTCTTTTTTAATAAAAAATTAAAATAGTAATTCCAGAATAGCAATGATTGGAACAATGGCTGCAAAAATGCATGAAGAACACACTGAATGGTAAAAGAGAGGCATTGTTTTCTTTCATGCACATCAATTCTCCTTCTGCACCAAAAACTGAACACCAAAATCTTTTGGTACAGTGCTTAGCTTTCAAGGCACGATAGGGAAAAATATGGGCAAAAATAAATTCCAATCTGGAAAAGAATACTTACCACCTGTTCCGTAACCACCACAAGAAGAAGGATCGCAGTACCCTGGCTGTCCAGGTGTTCCCTGTGCCCCAGGAGGACCTGTGCGACCTGCTGTTCCTCTGGGACCTGGTGACCCAGGAGGACCTGGAGTGCCAGTTCGACTCTCACCTGGAGGTCCTGCGGGGAACAGGAAACAGCAGTAAGAATCTCACCTCTGCCATATTGCAGAAAGTTAATCCATCGTTAATATTTAGGGTTTGACTGAATTTTAATGTTCACTGTATTTTTATAAGTTTCCTAGAGCCATTGAGTTTGGGAAGAATTTGATTGATTGATTGATCGATTGGCAATCGGGGAAGAACGAATAATTATGAATTGATTTCAGATCAGGCACCTGCACTTTGCCAGCCTTTTCAGATCACGTTAATTGTGTATATCAGTGCATGGGCAAACTAATTATCCCACTGCATAAAAGCTTCCTTAACCCATTTTTGGCATATATATTCATGAAGATTATATGAAGAAATAAAGGTGGATGGAATACTGTGCCAAATTGCACCTAGAGCAATTGCAACCTATTCAGGAAATTAAAAAATGCAGGGACAACTGCTTGTGCTTGAAGGCCAGATACACAGGAATATCTAAATTAGTAAATACTTTTGGAAGAAGAGACTTAGCATACTTATCAGGAAATGCCCTCCCTATAAAAATGAATGATAGAAGCAAGTGATCCTCCTTACCTAAAAAATTGGAATTCTACAGTATATTTACCTGCTGGTCCTGGAGGGCCTCGGGGGCCTTGTGTTCCAACACCTGGGTTACCTCGTTCTCCCTTTTCTCCCGGTGAGCCTGTTTAAAGTAAAAGACAGAAATCAGAACAGTTGGAAGAAAAAGATTGATACATGTTTCTCCCTGTGCATCTTTTGCTAATTAAAAGGAAGGAAGGGAGCCAAGGAAATTGATTCGGAAACCTGTGTGGCTCTTAAGCATCACGGAAACTTGCTACGGTGGATTTCTACTTGCTATAGTATCTCTTGGATGGTATAGCATTGCTAACTTGAGGCACCACTGACTCTTTTGGCCTTGGTCAATATGCAGGGAGTATAGGAGAAACAGTTAAAGGAACCGGGTAGGGTTAGCCTACAGAAGAGGTGTCTGGGGAAGATAAGAGTTTTCCAGTATCTGAAGGGTTATCACACAAAAGAGAGAATTGACTCAGAGGGCAGGAACAGAACCGCTGGGTTACAATGACAAGGAAGGAGAGTCAGGCTACACATCTGGAAAAATGAGCCAGTAGAATCGGCTGCTCCACAAAGTGGTGAGTTCTCTGGATGACTTCCAACCAAAGCTGGAAGGTCATCTGTCAAGATGTTCTAGTGCAGTGTTTCTCAACCTGGGCAACTTTAAGAAGTGGGGACTTCAACTCCCAGAATTCCTCAGCCAGCATGCTGGCTGGGGAATTCTAGGAATTGAAGTCTACATGTCTTAAAGTTGCCAAGGTTGAGAAACAGCCATTTCTAACACATCATTTGAAAACATTCTACCTCAGAAAAAAGAAATAGGACTAGGAATGCATAAGTGATGTGTGTGTGTGTTTTATTTAGATACATGAGTATCTATATGCCTTTGTGCAATGTTTCATATTTAAATATGAATAAATTGCAGGCAAATCTGAAATGAACAAAATGCAAAATGAAGGTGACATCTCTGCGGAATAATGGCTTCTTTTAAACATAGGCAAGCACCCAGGTTTCCCCCAACAGCATATTCATGGATTTTATTTTCCTCTTCTGCAACGAAAAGAATATCCTTAAATTGGTAAAACGTCATTGTTGCTAAGTAGAAAATTAATTGGTAAAAGTACATAGGAAAGGTTCAGAATATTTTGACCCAATTAGCAGGGATATCAGCAGGGTATGGTGAACCAAGTGGAAATGGCATTTGCGAGGGTGTGATTGAAATTCTGCCTGCTTTGTGCATGTGTTATGAAGCTTTGATTGTACCGTCACAGACACCATCTTGACTTTTTTGACCACGGTCTGCAGACACCCCTACCAATTAGTAGGCTTCCACAGGCACATGTAGCAGTCTTCTCTCATCACAGGTGAATTTCAGTGTGGTGCTTTTGTTCTTCCTGGGCTGAAAATAGCTTTTTTTTAAAAAAAAGTTCTATCCATAGAAGTATCTTCAACCATTATATGGTTTTCCATTCTAAGCCCAGGATGCCAAGTGCATAGCACCATGGAAAACATGAGGCTCACTTCAAGAGCTTCCAGAGAAGCTCCAAGCAACTCCTCCAAGCAGAAAGCAGATCTTCTGGGGGCAGTGGTGGCATGGAAGAATTTCAGCCACTTGAATATTAATCAAAGTTTTAAATCAATATTTAGCAAGCAGTGGAAGCAAGTAGGCACATACAAATAGTTTCTGTATTGCATTTGTGGTTAGTATCAAGAGGAAGTTGGTCAGAGCAGCTAGAGTTAGTTAAAGTTGTGGTTTAACATTTAGCAGGTACATTTGGTGGGTCCCATGTAGCAACTCCAGTCTATTTTAAACTTTTGCCTTTTAATAATTTGTAACCAACCACATTTATAAATCTTGTACTTCCTTGTTGCTTGATTATAAATACACCCTGTTTCCTGCATAGCGGGGGTCTTGCCCATGGAGTGTTGCGCAACATGTCCATGTGTGCTTGACCTGGCTTTGCAAACCCATCATCAAGTGTTTAGAGACCAAAGTACTCTGGTGTCTTGCCTGACTAGACAAAACGAACCTCATCTTGAGAAGGGAGAGAAAACTTGTAAGTCACAAATGGACATTTAGGAGTTCCCACTTGTAGATTTTTCTCCAACAGTGGAAACACATATTGATCATGAAGGATCAAAACAGCAACTTGGCTGAACAGACTTCACCTCTGAACAGTTTATTGGGGCACAGCCTGGGCCTTTGTGAAACATGAAGATCTGTATTAAGGGAAGAGGAGGGGAGTGGAAGCATCTCTTCAGCGCCCCCCCCAACACACACACACACACACAGTGCTAAAAGACTGCAGCACTTAAGTAGCAGAGGGTATTTTATACACATATCTGGCTTCCACACAGATGAAGCAATGTGATGTTTGGGACCATTTTTGAAGTTCTCTGTAAACCAATAAATCTACTAAAGATTACAAAAGGCCTGTGATACATACAAAGAGCAGCTAGACAAGTTCCAAGAAAGAACTAAGCTGATGCAACCCTAGGCATGATGTTTGAGGCTGCAGATGGACCACGAAAGCTTTGATCTCCTTTGACAATCCATCTCCTCCATGGACATATGAGAGTATCAACAAGAAAAACTGCTCATGACTAATAATCTCTTAAATAAGTTGTCTTAAACTTCAGTGGATTGTTCAATCTCTCTCTGGCCTAATTGTGCCTTAACTTTGTGCATTATAATTCTGTGTGCAAGAAAACAATTTGAGGCATCTCCAATTAAGTGGTTCTGATCAATGGGGAAGGTTAGATGTACAAACACCCAAGTAGGCTTCCACACCCTTCATGGGCAGGAACTGACACAGGAACCCAATGGAAACCTATTTTTTCCCTGCTAACAGTGCTGGCAGTTAGGGCAACCTTTGCTAAAAACCAAATACTTTTCTCCCCAGGAACATGCCCAATTGTCCTTGATCCAGAACATGCATTTCTCCACTTTAAGATAGGATTTTGAATCTGGCTGACTGCTCTTCTGCTCCCAGTACACAGGAGGCACTGAAACTAATTAAGGTTGTCAGTTGCACATTACATTTGCACATCTTAATGTAGCTGAACACATTTAGAAATATGATCTGTAATTTACACAGAACTGCAGTCTCACCATAGAGGGGCTGTGGTCTGGTGAGTGACCTGTGTAACTGCTTAATAGGGGTTTGCAGGGTGTTGGATTTTAAGCCCAAAAGGTGCTACAAGAGCAGTAATTCCTTAAAGCAGCTGTGTATTTCCCAGGGATCACACAGATGTTGCCTTTGCAGCTGCAGAGCAGTCCTGGGAAAATAGTTCTGGTTTAAGGAGCGGCCAACACTGCCTTCCCCTTCGAGTCTGAAGAACTCCACAAGCCACAGTCCTCATGCTTAGAACATGGTTGAGATGCTGCTGCTGTTGAAAATAAGCTTCCAAGAGTCTTTTTTATGTTTTTAAGCAGCATTTGGATTGGGCAGCCCTTTAAACAAAGCATTGTTCTCAAGTCTTATGTGGATGGGCAAAGACTACAGAATTCCCAGGTAATGTGGCCATTTGGCTGGGAACACTGGGCTTTGTAGCTTCTGCACACTAAAGGATGAGGGTGCCCCATGAAAGAGAACCCTTTCCAACCAAGATCGGTCCTCTGTGAAAGGAGAACCCTAAACCACTAGAAATGCAATGGGATGATTTGATCTGAGGGTCTCGTGGAGGGACTTGTGGAAGAAAAGGATGTCTACATACGGACGTCTACAGCCATGCTTGCTTTTCACAATGTTACTTTGAGGAACCCTCACTTTAGGCAAACCACCTGTTAAGCAGGGCCTCTGATTTTGCAGGCTTCTGCCATAAGTTACATTAAGCCTGCAGTTTGTGGTGTGTTGGGCTGGTGCCAAATGCAATTGCTAGGCTGATAACTGACGTGCCATCCTAGGAACATATTTTACCCATTACTTTGCCCATTACTTTGCTTTCAAAGCTCTGGTTTTACTCTTTAAAGCTTTAAACCAGTGTTTCTCAAACTTGGCAATTTTAAGAGGTGTAGACTTCAACTCCCAGAATTCCCCAGCCACCTACGATGGCTGGGGAATTCTGGCGGTTGAAGTCCAGACATCTTAAGGTTGCCATGTTTGAGAAACACTGCTCTAAACCACTTAAAGCCTGATTATTTGAGTGGCTGAACCTGCCTGGGCATTAAGATGAGGAGGAAAATCTCTCTAAAAATGCCAGTGTCTTCAGAGGCCCATCTGCTAGGTATCCAGGAAAAGGCCTTCTGTTTCACCACCAAAGTATGACATGAATTCCCCCAGGAGTTACAACTAGCTCCTTCCCTTTCCCCTTGAAGCCAAAGGCCATTCTTTTCAGCCAGATTTTTAAAAACAGTACATTTAAAAAGCTAAATTGCTTTGTTTTTAATTGCTTGCATGTTCTTTATCAGAGGTGGTTAGCCATCTGTAGTTTACCCCTCAACTTTGTTTGCAGTTCCAAGGTCAGCACTTCAGCCATATGCGTATTATGGATGCTCAGATCCAAATATTCATCTTCTGCAGAGCACTGCATCTTCAGACAATTGTTGCTGGCCCGGCTGCCAGGAGCAAGATAATTTGAGAGAAGAGAGACGCTGCGAAAGGAGAAAAACGTCTAGCCTCTCGCAACCTCCCTGCTCTGCCAGAAAGCCCTGTCTGAACTGAAGTCTGACTACCTCAAAGGTCTTGTTGGCAGAAAGGAAGGGTGGATATACAGTAAAAATAAATTCACATAACTACATCGAGCTATCAAGCAGTATTCAGGAGAGCAGGGGTGCTGGATTTTCCACATGTGAAGTTGGCAGTCATAAGAGCCATGCTTTACTTCAAAGCTTGATAATCCTGAGCTGATTGATGGCTCCCCTTCCATCGTTCTTTCGTTTTTCCAGGTTTTCTGGGCCAGTCACTTCACTTCACTTCACTTCATTTCATTTCATTTCACACCCGATGCGAATGCTCAGAATCCAAGCTGGCATTTCAGGATCAGGGGCTTATAAAAAGCACCCGTTCAGAGAATCACTGCTGCTCTTTCCGAGTTCTCAAAGTGCACACTTTGCTAATTGCAACGGCTGCCTGACTTTCTCATGGCTCGGTTAGCTGTATTGATGTT